TTTCAAGACCGCGTCGGTTTGAACTGAACATGGAAAAGTAAAATCACAATCTGGACAGGTACATCTCGGATAAATAAACGCAGATGCAGGAGTGCGTTTAGAAACCACGCCCGGCGCGTCTGACCCCATACATTAGAATAGGTTCCAGATGCGCCGTGCGAGGTTTCTAAACGCACTCCAGATGTAGTAGATGTGTCCGATGTGGATAAACAAACGCTCGAGATGTAAAAAATGCATCGGATGTGGATATTCAAACGCAGCATGAGTCATGCTATTTAGAAAAAATGGTATTTATTCTCACTAAAACTGACTAGCTCCACTTTTGAATTTGACATATGACGTATTTTATAACCATAATAGGAAAGTTTGTATGCCCCGCCTTACTTTGTGACCTTACTGTGTGCGTTGCTTAAATTAAGTTGATTTAAGTGATTTTATGTTTGTTTCACTACGTCCACGGATCTGTTAACGTGTTACATCTCTTTTTAACTAAAGACTTTTGAGAATACTTCTCACTTTCTCGGATTCACTTATAATAGAGCGCCATGGAAACGCGATTAGCCAGAGCGCAGTGACGTACCCAAAAATAGATATTAACACGTATGAAAACAATAAAATTGTTAAAATTGAATTAATATTTTTATGTTATTTATGAAACATACAGTGCGGGTCTAAAATTCCTCCCCGCCCCACTTATTTTTTGAACCGTAAAAGTTAGAAAATTGAAATTGAGATTTGAACCCATAAAAAAACTTGATTTTTAATAGAATATTACAGTTCCAAAAGTTAAAAATGTGTAGTAAGCCAGTTGATAGCATTGAAAATTTAAAGCAAAGGATTCGTTATAAGTAAACATTTTATCTTTATTGATCTCATTGGAAAGGGTCTGGAACAAGCTTTCAAATTATTTATCACTTGCTATATGATTCCATTTAAAATTATCTTCCAGAACGGCTCCCGTCCGCCATTTTTAATGATTCCATAGTTCAGTTTCCCAAAATTTCAAATTCCTAACTTAAAAAAAAAATAACGAAAATCCCCCATTGCCAAAGTAAAGCCTCCTCTTAATTTAACCCATTAAAGTATTAGATACAATATTGGCTTACACTTGTATGAATTTTTTAGTTCCGAATTGGGAAGACTTTTATTTAGAAGAAGAAGATGGCGACAAATGCAAAATTTGTACGAAGACGTTTCATCGAAGACACAACCTAATTAACCACATAAAGAGCCATTTCCATAAAAAGTACTATCAGTGCACCATGTGCGAAAAAAAATATACCACAAAAGATACGTTGAATATCCATTTAAAAATTCACGCTGGAGAGAGGGATCACCATTGCACTATTTGTTCGAAAAGTTTTTTCAAGAAAGGGAATCTTAGATTACACTTGAAGCTGCATGCTGGAGAGAAGACCTTTAAATGCAATCAGTGCTCTAGCAGTTTTGCTTTATCTCAGTATCTAAAAACGCACATGAAAACTCATGGAGAAGAAAGTTTTGCATGTACCTTATGTCCAAAGAGTTTCAAGAAAAAGGGCTACTTAAAACAACACATGGATATGCATTCCGCAGAAAGCGAACCCAGCGATCAAAGTAAAAACAAATGTCACATCTGTTTGAAAGTTTTCGTTCAAAAAACTCATTTAAAAAGCCATTTAAACGTCCACAGTGGATCGAGAGATCACAAATGCGACATCTGTTCGAAAACCTTCATTCACAAAAGCAACCTAACCAGTCACATGAAGATCCATACAGGACAAAGAGACTACCAATGCAGTTTTTGTTCCAAAACATTTTACCAGAAGAATGACTTAACGAAACATTTGGCGGTTCATACTGGAGAGAAGAATTATCATTGCACCCTGTGTCAGAAGAGTTTTGTCCATAATAGCAATTTAAAAAAACATTTGGAGACTTATTTACATAAAAAGAAAATTCCGAAAGTCTGATTCGAATCAGTAATTTATCTTCGTATTATGAAGTTTGATCATTTTGATATGAAGATTCGACCTTTCTTAAGAACCGGAGTTACGTTTTTATTTAATTCAAAATTGTTTTTATTTCTTCTATGTGAGAACAACGACTAGTGAATACCAGTATTTATTTTTTATTTAAATTTTATATATTACGGAGTTAAATCTAATAATTTAATAAATCACTAAGCTTTATTGCCCAACAGTATACATTGTAGTGGACACTTAGATAAAAGAGACCGGAGATGTAACATTGCACATTGCGCATGTTGTTTATTCCAAACCTAAGTAACCCACCAATTAAAAATCATTGTGTTCACGACGCCACCCGAATTGCTCCGAAATTTCTATTCTTTGCTTGTCTCCGCGTGAGGAAATCATTTATGGACCGCCGTTTTTAAATTATTTGTTGGTGTTATTAGCAATTTAAAGTGTTTTAGTTATTCAATTTCAAGTTGAAAATGCCACGATGTATGGTGAAAAATTGTATATACAAATAATATGTGTCAATGTTATGAAAAATAAGAAATATATTCGTTTTCAGCGGTAAATATTTGTTGACGTTTTGACATAAAGTCGCCATGATACTTTGAGCTGAATACTTCAGAACCGCATTAAGGGGTTTCAATAAATATTTAATCTAAATAAGAAGTAAATAGGCATTGTTACTAACGAAATTTTGTTTTTAAAAAGTAGTTTTATAAGAATATTTACTAAAAGTGGCTTTTAGGCCTTTATTAGATATGTTTACACGAATATTAGATGAAATACAGGTTCACCTACTTAAAATTTCAAGGTTTATTTTATTTGCGGTTAAATCAGAAGTGAAATTTGAATCTTAAAACAAAGTAAAACGCGCAATATGATCTAGTATAAGCAAAAAATACTAAAGTTACGGAAATTAGTCATATTATTAGTAAAATGTTACATTATAAACCCCTAAACAACTCAAAAAATATCTTCGTTTACTAAAAAAATCTAAATTCTAGCAATATTTATTATACAATCGAATGCGGTTTCAAAGATAACAGGATCAATAAATCCGAATCTCTAAATTTTGGAGCTAAATGCTCTGATAAAAGCATGCGACCGATAGGGGTTACAAAAATAATCGATTTATCGTTTTCATGAAAATCGATTTATCCGTTATAATTAATCGATTATCTTTAATAGATTATTTTTGATTAATCGAACATTTTTAATAAATTTTTTTCGTTTTTTTAGGTAATGGAATAATCGATTATAAAGGAATTACAAAAAGAGAGTACATTTATTCAAAATATTCGATTTATTGAAAATAATATATTTTTTAGAAAAATCGATTTATTGTTTAATAGACTTTTTAAATTAATCGATTATTTTCGATTAATCGATTATTTTCGATTAATCGATTATTTTAGATTAATCGATTATTTTAGATTTTTCAAAGTTATTCAAATAATTTGTTTTAAAATACAAAAAATAGATTATATAAAAATAATCGATTGATCGAATATAATCGGTTATATTAAATGATCGATATTTCGGTTATTTTTTAGAATTATTGATTTATCGGTAAATCAGCTTTTTATTAATCAATTATTTTCGATTTTTCAAAGAAAATTAAATAATCAGTTTTAAAAGGAATATAAAAAAGAAAAGGATTATTTGTAAATAATCATTAATTATTCAGTTTTTTTTTTGGAAAATTGATTTATCGTAGAATCTTCTTAATTAATTGGTTATTTTCCGTTAATCGATTATTTTCGATGTTTCAAAAAAGACCGAATAATTGATATTAAAGGAAATAATTCTTTTTTTTTTAAAAATCGATTTATCGATTATTCGACTTTTTAATTAATCGATTATTTTTGATTAATCGATTATTTTAGATTTTTCAAAGATTATCGATGGAAATACGAAAAAAAAAAATAGAAATTAAAAATAATCGATTATTTAAAATAAACGATAATTCGTTTATTATTTTTTGTAAACACTGATTTATCGGTTAATTGGCTTTTTAATTAATCTATTTTTTTTTGATTTTTTAAAGATAATTAAGTAGTCAATTTTAAAGGAAATACGAACAAAAATAGATTGTTTGAAAATAATCGATTGATCGAAAATAATCGATTATTATTAATGATCAATAATTTATTTCGATAATCACCCACTCCTAGCGACCAAATGACTTTTAATAGGTTTAAATTTTAAAATGTTATCTGGTTTCAGACATATACATTTCTAAAGTTTTATGTGACGCATCCTCTATATTAATTAATATTCCTAAAGAAACAAGCTTTAATATATCTTTTTCTGAGGTTATAATACAAAACAGCATTTTCTCATTTTGACTAAATTTTAATATTATGTGATAGTCGTAGAAAAAATATAATGTTCAACTCACAAGGTTTGATTTGCAGTATTCGCCTGCGCACATGCTTTTTTATAATACTCTTAGACAATGAGTACCATTTCTTACTCGATTAACAATATTCTATTTCAACATTTTACTGTAGTCTTTTACAGAAAAGTCCATAGTAAATAATAGCTAACGAAATATTCTATTAAAGGTCTTCTCTTTACATAAAATGTCGTGGCATCTGTTTGATATTAAAATATCACGTTAAATTTATTTCATAATACAAAATTCCATTAAACGTATATTTTAAATAAATCTAATAGTTCATTATGATGCTAATAAACAAAGTCCGGTCCCTGTCACAGAGTTCGAGTCACTGCCCAGTTCCCCCACTCCGTTAACCTTTCTTTAGAAATTGGCAACATTTGCGCAGGTTAAACACCGGTGTATGTTATATCTCTGGTCTCTTTTATCTAAGAGTGGACAATACTTTATAGTTTAAAAATGTACATAACATATACAATACTAGTAAATTAAGATTTTTAATTAAGGTTTCTAATAATTTATTCATAAATAATTTGTGAAAATAATGCCGATATGATTTAATTTTAAGCTAAGAAAGCATAATAAGTTTATAACAGTGTATGATGAATTATAAGTTAATACGAACTAATAATACTTACAGATTTTGATTATCAACATGGCAAATTTGACTTCACATACTTATATCATAAACAAAGTTCCGTTGAGAAAAATTTTACTGGAAACTTTTAGAATGGATTCTTGTGATTAGTTACTAACACTATCCACACTTTGGCAAGTCCAATCCTAATAGCTGGATACAAATTAAGATGTCAGTGCAGACTCTACCTCTGATTCTAAAAAAATATTTAATTTTAAAACATGTAGGGGAAGACGGGGCAGATTTGACATGAAAAATTCTCTATCCACCAAAAATGACAATTTTTGTTTTTTTTTCTTAAAAATTTTGGAATAGACAGTTAAAAGAATTAAGAATTTAAGAATAATAAACAAGATTATACTGAATTAGGCGATAGGGTGTATTTCGACAAATGTGCCCCCAAGTGGGGTAGATTTGACTTTGTAAAATATTGAGTGGGGCAGCTCTGACACATTATACAATTTGAAAGAAATTATTTTTATTTAAAAAAATTGGTTTAACACAAATATTTGCGTATTCTAATAAAAAGTATTTCAGATGGTAACATAAACACAATTATTTTAAATTATAACTATCCAAATTGACATCAAACTCGTAGTATTTGTTTACAAGGATTGGTTTGGGTAAAACAGCAATACAAACCATTCAGTTGACATTGCCGATATCGAGCACTTCAGGATACAAGAATTTATTTGAATTGAATTTTTTTTCTTAAAAAATTAATTTGTTATTCGTCAGTATCCACAACTTTCTGAATTCTGGAAAACATAATAAACAACAGATGATTTCGTTGGAAATTGAACTAGTACAAATCTTCTTTTGGTACGAGTTGATCGTCCGTTAATTCTCCAAGAGAATTTGATCCCATGCTACTGTCAGAATGAAATGACAAAAGAGAGTCGACATCGCTCTCTTCATCAGACTCTTTAATTTTTTTAATGCTTCTCTTTTTTTTTGTGGCAGTTGCTGATTTTCCTTTTCTGTTCGGCTGTTACATTCTAATACATCTTGTTGTCTTTTACCACAGGCTTTCTGAAAAACATCCCTTTTTTCATTATCCCTTTTAGCATTTTTTAATTCTTTTTCTTTTCTTTTTATAGCTCTTTCTACTATTTTTTGCATTTCTGGCAAATCGTTAAAAACTCTAGATTTTCCCTTATCCCTTCCTGTTTTAATATTAGAGCACTTTTTTAAAACGGGCAACGGTCTTACCATCTATTAGAATTATTTTAGCCTCGGATCTGGTTATTTGTTTCTTCGTTTTTAATGCTGTTTCTCCTATTTCATGTCCTGTTGTAAACTCTGTAGGTTTCACAATTGTTGGATCTATTTCTGTGTCAATCTCCACGCTAATCAAACTCTTCATAAAGGTGGCGACAAAACCAAAACCTGTAACTATAGACCTATCGCGTTATTGCCTACCTTATCGAAGATAGTAGAACGGCTAATGAAAAACTGTCTTTTGCCCTTTCTTTTCAAGCATAACATCCTCACAGCTCATCAGTATGGCTTTCTACCTAAAAAATGCACTAGCGACGCAATGTTTTTCGTTCTTAATGAAATATACACTTCACTTAATGATAAACTTTTCACCGCTTCAGTATTTTGTGACTTCGCAAAGGCCTTCGATTATGTAAATCATGATATTTTAATTAATAAGTTACAAATTTATGGCATACGGGGTTCTCCTTTACAATGGTTTAAAACTTACCTAGAAAATAGAAATCAACAGGTGCGGGCGAATGGTGAGGATTCTACAAATCTAGCAATAAGCAGTGGAGTACCTCAAGGATCAGTATTAGGTCCAATTTTGTTTTTATTATTCATCAACGACATCACAGACTTAAGAATAAGTGTTAGAATTACTTTATTTGCTGATGACACCAGTGTAAACTGGAATAATTCTAACATGCAGACATTACAATCTATCATAAGTGAAGATCTAGTGACTATTAAGTCCTGATTCGAATGGACTTTGTTTCAACACCAGTAAAACTGTAGCATTGTCTTACAGAGGTACTTTACAACCTCTAACTCTAAACAATAATCTGATCCAAACGGTGACTTCAATCAAGTTTTTAGGTCTTTATATAGACAATTCTCTAAAATGGTCTGCTCATATAGATACCTTAGCAAAAAAATTATCCTCCGCATGTTTTGCCATTAAATCGGTTTCTAAAGAGCTGACTCCTTCTACTGCATTAATAACCTACTTTTCCTTATTCGAATCTCACCTTCGCTATGGTTTACCTTTCTGGGGTTCTTGTAGCTTATACCTTTTCGAATCTATTTTTAAACTGCAAAAAAGAGCAATCCGCTATGTATTTGGTTTAAGTAGTAGGACACATTGCGAAAATTACTTCAAAAATTTCAAAATTCTAACCCTTCCTGCTCTATTTATTTTCGAATCCGTCTGCTTAGTTCGCAAGCACATTCAAAATTTATCCGAAAGACCGACTCGTAGATATCCTACAAGAAATTTAGAGACTGATGTTTATTTAACAATGCCTACTTCTGACCTATTAAAACATTCCATTACCTACAACGCCAAAAAATTGTATAATAACCTTCCGATGCAATTAAAATCTATAAATACATACGATTAGTTCCGAAGACTGGCTAAAGCTTTTCTTCTAGAAAGACCATATTACACAGTAGCAGAATTTTATAACGTACTTTAGACATTTGAGTTCCACTTACAATGGCATTAATTAAATAATTAAATATTAAAGTTTAAATTTAAATTTAAAAATTAAATTAGAATAATTATAATGACGGATATTGCATATCCATTGCAATTGTTATTCCTATTTTGTCTGTTTGTTTCTGTTTGTTTTTTCTGCTGTTTAGTTATTTTTATAATATGTTTAGTATTTAAGTTACACGCTTTGTCTATAAAATTTTTGTAAATTTTTTTACGACAATAAAGCATATCTCTCTCTCTCTCTCTCTCTCTCTCTCACTTTCTACTGGAGTCTTACTAGGACCAGCTGTATTAATATATGAAAGATTTGATTGTGTTTCATGCTCAGATTGAATGAAATGAGATTCATTGAATATGGTTGAATCAAATGGAACAATGCCTGAGGCAGTAAAACCAGAAGTTATATTTTTTGGTGTAAAGGAATCTAAAAATGGACCAGAAGGTATTTCTCCAATATCGTAAATAGATACTTAACCATGATGATTGATTATAAAATTGTTAAAAGATTTTTTTAAAAAAGATTTGAAAGATGAAAAGACTCCAACATCAAGCGGTTGGAGTTTGTGGGAGGTATTCGGAGAAAAACTTAAATAATACCGCTGTCACGACAAAATTGAAGAATGTTAACTGAAATATGAGTTTCGCTATTATCCATTAAGAGAAGGAGATATTTGCCTTCTTTAGCTTTTGGTTGTAGATGTTTTTTTAATACGTTTTAACACATCCATAAATAATTCTGCAGTGCTCCATCCGCTTTTGTTGCATAATCCTAAGCTACCTGTTGGAGTTCCTCTCATGAACGTGTCTTTGTAGCGAATCCTTAGAAAAATATAAACAGGCGGGATATAATTAACTTGTGCCGTTATTGTACAAATCATTGTAACAAGGGAACCCCTTTCGGCTGAAACTGCTTGGCTCACTTGTTTTTGCCCTAAAGGAGCTATCACTTTGGGTTGATCCATAACGGTGGTCACTCCAGTCTCGACAACGTTGATAATTCGTGACGATTCGAATTTATATTTATGCAATACATGTTCTAAGTTTTTAAAGAATGCATTAACACTCTCACTATTAAATCCGTTAATTCGAGCAAGGCTAGTGTTTTCTACTTTTCGAAGCGATAATTTATCTTTATGTCTTCTCATAAAATAAAGCATCTAGTCTTAACCAGCTGACTTGTTAGTTTGCCAAGATGAAGGCATCATCTTTTCCTTGGCTTGAGCAAATTGAAAAGCAAAAGCTTTCATTTGGTTATAATTTAATCCGTAGTTCAAGGAACAGCATTTTTTCAGGTAATCTACAAGCAGCAATTCTTCTTCATTTGTAAATACCTGCCGACTTGCATATTTAGAGGAATATGTAGGTTTTCTCCAGAATCTTCCCCTTCAAGTTTTTTCTATCGGTAAATTAACGTAGTTCGGTTAATACGGTACCTTAATGACGCTTCTCTGTACGAATATTTTCCACAAGCAATATTATTAAGAGTTTTTTTATGTTTTCTTCATCGATAACACACCTCTGTTCGTTTTTTTTTCTTATAGTTTCGAACCATTATGTATACCTAAAACAAAAAATCAGCATTAAATACATTACTAAAATGTGATAGGGCAGTTTTGACACGTGTCAAAACTGCCTCTTCCATCAAATGGCAAATCTGCCCCACCACCTATTTTAGAAATTTTCACTTATAATCTAAAACCAAACTTTCTTACACACTCCCATTTGACAAAAAATTAAGGTAAATAGTCTAGTTATATAATATTAACAAATGTGTAACCTAAACTTTAATTTATTTTAATTCATCTTATTTTATAAATTGCTCTCCCAAAAACTTTTATATACGATATTTTTAGTTTTAATGTAACTACCACAATACGCCCTTCACGAACCAGAGATTTCAACTGAACATTGATAGGAGCCGACGCTGCTATATATCTTAAGACAGACTGTCAGTGATCAAAGTTTAAGCGGTAAATTTTAAATTGTCAAATGTGCCCCACTGTCAAATGTGCCCCGCCTTCCCCTATGTAGATGAGATTTAATGCATACATAATATTAATTATGGTTTGTAGAAGAGTTTTCAATTATTTAGAATCTCAAAATAACTAAACATAAAAAAAATAAAGTAATTAATAGGTCTCTCTTAATCTGTTTTTCAATGAACATTAAAAAAGTGTTATCGTAAAGTCGATAAAGAAGATTCCTATATTACCTGTTGTTGACATTGGAGCTGTGATGACAGGAAAATTATACTGTCGAATTTTTTAAAATTGTCACTCAAAACTTTAAATGCAGAATTATATTATTTCCACAATAATATAAAAGAAAACTGAAACACCACATCGCTGAAACATCACGTCCAATAGGATTACAAGGTACCTCCGCACAAAGAAAAACAAGTAAATCTTTTGAGCTCTCAAAATTAATAAATATCTTCTTTAAAAAGGCCTAGAAATAATTAATAGACAATTAATAAAAAGATAAACAAGAATGCATTCTATTCTACAATAAATTCTATTAATTTTACTTATTATACAGAACTTAAAATAAAAGATGATCAAACAAAATAATACTTGATATGATTGAACTTAGAATCCTGACCAAATTTATGCCAAGGTGAACTTTAATAACATTAAAATTCTTGTAACTAGGCTAAGATATTATTTATTACTATTTAATTTTGTTTAAAATTATGTTTTATTGTTATTAATCTAAAGACTTAACAAGCTTTTAAATCTGTAACGCATTTATAACTAACACATTTCTTTTGACCTGCTAATCAATTTAGGTAAAACATTTCTATAAAACTATACTTAAAGTTCGTTGGTACTTACAAATTGTATCGTACACTGTTAAAATAAGGTTATCACATAATTCTTGAATAAATTTTCCTTTTAAAATTGAACAAATACATTTATGTATTAGTAATCCTAGCCCCATTTAACCTTTACCAAGACAATGACAATATGTCACTCTGATGCTACAACCCGAGAATACCGATCAAGGAAAAGCGACAGCTTGGTGTTTTCAGTGTACCGTTTCGTAACGCGCATGTGCGAAAATAAGTTGTGTATCACTCAAAATTATTTTATATGTCAAAGTGATATTTTTTGGTGTTTGTTTTGTGTAGTAATAAGATGAAGATTTTTACACACTTAGGTATTCTAATACAGATATAAAATGTGCCCAAAAAGTTATTAGGAAACTAAGATTTTTATCTTATGTATAAATATTAAGTATAATGATTTAATCATTTTTGACATTTTAATTTTCATATGTAGGCATTGTATTTTGTGAAATATATATGTTTTTCTTCTTTTAAATAAATTTAATAAACAATGAACTGCAGATTTTGTTTATTTTATTTTGAAATTATATTTAAAAAAAATATAATAAATTCGCGTGTTTCAATAGACCTTTTCATCACAATTTTTTTTTGTGCGCATGCGTCAGTTTCAGCCATCTTTTTCGTACTGTTTTTGTAAACAAGTATGTTAAAATGCTTACGTGAAAAAAATTATAATTGATAAATATTAATTTAAGTCTATATTCATTTAAAAAAGGAAGAAAAAAGTAAAGTAATAATAAGTTTAGTGTCTTAATTGAAAAATACATTTTCACAATCAATTATAATAATTATGTTATCTGTACGGAAAGGAACAACGAAACAGTGTTGTTATGTAAAAGTGACACACGGTATAAATCATTCAAAGGCAATAGATATTATTTTATAAATTTTCCAAAGCCTTAACTGCAATATCGTAAACAATTATCAGGCAAAATCAATATTAAAAGATATTTGAAATGTGCATTAAGTGTGAAAAAA